TGCCGCTGGTTCTCAGTCGTCGGTTTCGACCGAAAACAGTGCTTTAGCGAATGAATGCACGAAAGGAATAGTGAATGACTGCAGCAATGGGTCACAGATGGGACTACTGACACCCAGTAAAAGAGAAAGATTGAGAGGGAAAAAGAGCATCTGCTGTTGTAGGTTTTATCATTGATGTCACCTGTAATTAGTCTTTGCTCATTCCCATTTGCTGCAGAGTAACACGAGAGATGTGCTCAGAACATGGAGAGCAAACTTTGACTGATAATAGTGGCACACAGTGTTTTATTTTTTTTAATTAAGTGTCAATGTATCCACATCACAGCAGGGTGGTGGACCGGTCTCCACAGCAGCCATTACTATCAAGAGATATTTCATCCACTTTTAAACAACAATGAACATCTCATCTTGGCACACAATGTCTTTTTATTCAATGAATCTCGAACAAAATCCTTTATTTCATTGCTGCAGGGTACCATGGGAGTCCATTCAGAACATGGCCAGTCTGCACACTCTCAACCTGGACCATAACTTGATAGAATACATCGCAGAAGGAGTCTTTGGAGAGCTGTACAAGCTTGCGAGGCTGGATATGACCTCCAACAGGCTGCGAACTCTGCCTCCTGATCCACTATTTGCAAGGTAAGCTTCTTCTGTTATGCTTCTCTAAAGACGTGGCTTCGTGGCAAAGGAAGCCACATGGGCAAGTGGCCACTAGGTGAATAAATAAGGCCCTTACATGCCACCACTTGATTGATGGCAAGTAGTAGCAATGAGGGGGGGCAAAGTAAAGAGTAACTTGTAATGGGAAGTGTCGAGAGAATATGTTGTCAAGACCAGCACTACATGATAATGATGTTTTTTCAAATCAGGCCTGCTGTCAAAAAAAGTTACAATTATTCTTTGATCCTCTTTGTTTTTTTAACTTTTTTCCCCCCACACAGCTCGATGTATTCAAATTTAAATCCAAAGCTGATTGCTTCTAAAAACAGCGTCTTAAGTATGCCATTCTACAGTTAGGATTGTTTCTCCTTCTCTCTCGATCTTCTTTTTTTCATTATAGCTCACGCTGACTGCGCTGTAGAGAGCTTCATTAGACACTGTCGTCTAAATTTACCTATGTGTGCTCTTTATCTCCGTTTGTAGCCTTGGAAAGTGCCGTACTGCAGCCTTACACTTCTGCTGTGTTTACCAGCAATGTGCCTTTAGAAAAGCATACAGGTGTTCAAGCTATAAGACAGTGATACTGTCTTACCGCACCGGTCTTTAGAAACCTACCTAAGTCAACTTTACTGAGTCCTCTTTTCATCCTTGATTTTGGCAAATTGTTCCATTTTCAATTTGCAGAGGCCAGATGCAAGTAGCTTATAAACAGCACTGCTGCTTAGTACTGCTCCTGGGTAAGATTGGACCGCCTGCTGTGGACCATTTTCTAAATTGTTTGTTTCTCTCATTTTGAGCAACACGCTCTTGTTAACGTGTTAAATCTACGAGCTCACTTTGTGGCATAATTATTTCCTTTCCTTTAAACTTTCCCTTTGAATCTGAAACAATTAAATAGCAATAAAGAGGAAAAACTGATGCAATTTTACAAATCAAGGGAAAAATGACAAAGAAGCTAAACCTCGACTAGTTGGAAAAGGAAAAAATGTTGATTAAAAATGTTAACGAGATATTTCTGCTATTTGGATTTGGTGCGCAAACGGATAAACATTTTAAATTGTAAAGCATGAGGTGAGATACGCTTATCGAGTTCGTTCAAAATAGATTAGTTTCCCTCTACAAGTCAAACCGATCAAGAGTAAAGCATCTCATTTTGACTAACGCTTCCAAATTTGTGAAAGTGAACTGATGGCTCTCTTTCTACTCTCATCTTCAGGTCCCAGACAGGTGCAATAAGTCCCACCCCCTACAATGCTATCACAAGCTTAAATTTTGGCGGGAACCCGCTGCACTGCAATTGTGAACTGCTGTGGTTACGGCGGCTTATCCGTGGGGACGACATGGAGACGTGTGCCACTCCGCCTCACTTGGCTGCAAGGTACACATCCTTCTTTCGTCAATGTACTGTCTGTCTAACCTACTCAGTTTAAAAAAAATAATCCTCATGCGTTTAATCAGTGAGGCCTTCTCCAATGTCAGGGGAAGCAAAAGAACAGTTACAAAATGACAAACTGAACATCACACATCAATGCTTCCCAACCTTGTCTCAAGGCCAATCTGTACTGCAAGTCTGTTTTAGCACAAATCCAATTAAGGGTCTCGCATTGAATGATATCTTAATTGGATCACCATGTGTACAAGAACAGAGCTGGAGATAATAAAAAAAAACAACCTCACAGGACAGGTAGGCCTCAAGGACTGAGCTTTCTGAACAAAGACTCACACTCTCCGCTCTGCCAGAATTTTCCGGTCTAAACCTGTAACCAACATTGTGGAGTGAAAACAAAGGATTGAGGAGGAAAATGAGCATCTGTCGTCGTCATCTGTCATCGCTGTCAGCATTAATTACTCTTTGCTCAGTCGTCTTTTGTGCGGAGTCGCATTAGGAAATTGTACAGGCTGTTGTGCACTACTGAACTTTACCCTAAAATTGATAGACAAGACCGCATAGATCTTTAGGTTAATGTACCACATTAATCTGCCAAACCAACCTCGGAGGGATAAAGGAAGACAGATTCCTGTACTTAGCCAGAAAGGTGATTCTGCTCTCGCTCTCTCTCTCTCTCTCTCTCTCCATCCCTCTTTGTCTCTCAGATATTTCTGGGCGATTCCTGAGGAGGAGTTCACCTGTGAACCACCTCTCATCACCCGACACACTCACAAGCTGTGGGTGCTGGAGGGCCAGCGGGCCACGCTGAAATGCCGGGCTATTGGCGACCCTGAGCCAGTCATCCACTGGGTTTCACCAGACGACCGCATCGTTGCGAATTCGTCCCGGACCAGCTCCTTCAGCAACGGGACCTTGGATATCTTGGTAACGGTGGCCCGGGACGACGGGGCATACACGTGTATTGCAATGAACGCGGCGGGTGAAGCGACTGCCACTGTGGACCTGAAAATAATCCCCTTGCCTCACCGGGGCGGAGCAGGCGGAAACACAGGGAATAACAACGTGAACGGCAAAAACAACAGGAACGTGACCAATGGGATTTTACGGACCGATCCGGGCTCCTCGGATATCAGCACGGGGAAAAATGGAGGGATTAACAACGGCGCAGGACGTGGAGGAGAGGCGGAGGATGGGAGAAGAGCAGGGGAGGACGACGACGGCGACAGGGCCTCCGAAGGGGCGAGGCCCGATGGAGGGAGCATGGAGGACGACGAGGGGGACGAGGAGGAAGGGAGGATGGTTGGAGTACAAAGCGTTACGTCAACCTCAGCTCAGGTCCGATGGGATTTGGGGCATTTGTCCACAGCTTACGTCGTCTGGATGTATCAGATACAGTACAACTGCACCGTCGACGAGACCCTCATCTACAGGTCAGTTCAACTTTGTAACACACGTCTCTTAATAGGAACCAATGTGATGAAATGCTGCTTTTACAGTAGCCTTGATACTTGCCAGTAAGTAACTGTTCTCATCTCCTCTATGTTCAACCGTAAGTCATTTCCTTTCCTCACTGAAAAGGTGGATATCCTGCTTTTATGCAAAACTCCTTAAATATTTATCCATTACAGCATGAGACTTCAGTAGTGCAACTGTTCCCCATGTCCATGGACGGGTGGGGATAGCTCAAGGGAAAGGATGAATGGGGAGACGGATGAAGGGGTAGAGGGGAGTTAATAATTCATCTCCATCTCAGTATGACACTTAAACCCAACAGGTGCGTCATGGTGCACATGGGGGAACCAGCGGATGAACATTGGGACGATAGAAGGGATTTTGCAGTTTGCCCCGGAACACGATCACATGTAGAAAATAGTGTTTGACTCTGAACACAGCAACAGCATTAACGTACACGTCTGTATGTACAGAGGGTCTTGATGGGATGTGTTATTTTTAATTTCAAGCAACGTTTACACCTTCAGTAAGCAATGTCATATTGCATTAAGTATGAGATCACTTCACCGTCCGTGTTTACTCACCACGCTCGCGGAGTAAGAAAAACAATCAAACTTTTATGAAGAGCCGAGTGGAGGTTGAGGGCTGCAATGGTGTTCTTGTTCTGACAAATTATTTAGGAGGCCGCTGCCACACCCCGTCTTAGAACTGTGAAAATGAGGTGAACAGAGTTGGCCAAGCTGCCAATCTGCCAATCTCCGCTCACTGTTTCTATGCGCTGTGAGCCAATTTGTAAGCAGTGGCTGCAGGCCTGGCGAAAAGAAAGATGGAGTACTACTGTAGACACTTCCAACAGGCAAAAAAAAAAAAAGGGAGGAGGAGAGACGAGTCAAAGCACAGAGTTCTTTTAAAACAACGAGTTTCAAAGTTTCTGTGCTAGCAGTGTGAATAAATGAGTAAATGAGTCCGAAATCGATGGATTCACAAAAAGGAAGTCTTGTTTTTTCCAAAATATGACAGTGTGGCTTGGGTTTTAGTACTTGGTGTACTTGCATGTACAATACTACTACTGTGCTGTTCCCAAATTTTGCTGACATGAATCCAAAGTCAACTGCCTCTCTATTTACCAGTAAAAAGACCGATGAAACATTTATGTGTAGGGGAGGTTGCTGCAGCAGAGCAGCGGCTGAAGCAGTGACAGTATGAGGGAATGAGAGAAGGGGAGCAGACGTCGGGGACCGACTGCCATCATGACGTTATTTGCGTTTGTTTTGCACTCCGCAGTAATGCAGGGTCCGAATGTGGTTTCCCCCTCAGATAAGATGGTGTGCTGCTGTAAGTGGTATTGAGAAGGGGTAAAAGGGAGCTAGCCATATGGCAGGAAGACAACAGGGAAGTCAGGCAGATGGAAAGATGATTGGAAATATGAAAAACTGTGTGCGGGTGTAATCTGAAGGATTGAGGAAGATAGCAGCCACGGGTGAATGGGGGGGGGGGGGGGGGGAGGGGGGTTGGGGGCGTGGTGTTAGGGTGGGGGGGTAGGGGCGTGGGGGTAGGGGGGTGGGGCTAGGGGTGAGGGGGG